ACAAAAAGACAAATAATCCAATTAAAAAAATGGGCAAAAGACATGAATAAACACTTCACCAAGGAGGATATTCAGGCAGTCAAACATATGAAGAAATGCTCATGATCATTAGCCATTAGAGAGATGCAAATCCAAACAACAATGAAATACTATCTTGCTCCAGCACTAGTAACAAAGTTCAACAAGACAGAAAACAACAAATGCTGGCAAGGATATAGAGAGATTGGGACTCTCGTACACTGCTGGTGGGACTGTAAAATGGTACAACCACTGTGGAAAGCAATGGAATTAGAAATACCGTTTGACCCAGCCATTCCATTACTAGGTATATATCTTAAGGAAGTGAGAGCCATGACAAGAACAGACATATGCGCACCCATATTCATCGCAGCACTATTTACGATAGCAAAAAGTTGGAAACAACCTAGGTGTTCATCAACTGAGGAATGAATGGATAACCAAACTTTGGTACATACACACAATGGAATACTATGCAACCCTAAAAAATAACCTAGAATCTACAAAACACCACATAATGTGGATGAACTTGGAGGACATTATGCTGAGTGAAATAAGTCAGTCACAGGAGGACAAATATACTATTAGTCTGCTATTGTAAAAGTCAAGGAAAGGTTTATATATGGAAGGAAATTTTCTTTGTTGCTTACCAGGGGTGGGAGGGGATGGTAGGTAACACTGTTAGATAGGTAGAGATAAGTATTGATTTGGGTGAAGAGAAGGACAATGTACCAAATGTGAGTGATCAACATGGTGGCACTGAGGAAGAGGAAGACATAGAGAGGTACATGGGGGGTGCAGACAACAAAGACGAACCCTTTTACACATATAGTACTGTGTTATCAGTGAAGGCAAACACAGATATACAGGTGGATAGATGGGTGGACAGGATGAACTATCAGGTATGTCTATGAAGTGGGGAGTGTACCCAAGAACATGTATAGGGTCGGCAGACAATGGTCCTATAAGTTAATGTGTATTATCTGAATTCCCAGGTGTATAGTAGAGCTGACAAGGGACAAGGTAGCAGTCACTTCTTGGTCACAGCCAGCCACCCAGAGGGAGCGAGGAGTTGAACCTGTGGGCTTGGGACCATAGTTGCACAGGACATCAAGTTCAATTGGCATAACATACTACACAAAACATTGTTCCACCTCCTGCTTTGGCGAATAGCGACTGGGATCTTAAAAGCTTGCAAGCAGACATCTAGATGCAACAATGGGTCTCTCCTCATCCAGAGCAAAGAAAAATGAAGAAAACCAAAGATTCATGGAAACAATTAGTCCTAGTGACTGGTACACCATGTGATCCATGGCCTATATGACTATGAGACCAGAAGAACTAGATGGTGCCCAGCTACCACTGTCAACCACTCAGAGAGGGATCTATGTAGGAGATCCTTGATAGAGATGGAGAACAATGTGGAACAAAATTCAAAATCATTTGGGAAAAAAAAAAAAGTGGGGACCAGTTTTTCTTGTCTGATAGAGCCTGGTGGAACCACTGAAACTATGGCCCCTAGCTGCCCTTCAGGTCTGGAATTGAACTCCCACCTGTGGCTCCCAGCCAAATAAAAGACAAGCATATGAGTTGAACATTTACCTGAGGTAGATACACTCCTTGGAGAGAACAATCATGGGAGAAAGAAGGGCTGCGTATGCACAGGGAGACAGCTCAGGGGGCAGGAGTGCATGGAGGGATGGACACAGGGAAGAGGTAACTATGGGGAAAAGTGGGAGAGGAGCTGTTGCATTCTGGGAAATTGTAGTCAATGTCATGAGACAAAGTGTATGTAAACTGCTGTATGGAAAGTGAATTTGCTCTATAAACTTTTACCCAAATCACAATCACTCACTCACTCAATCAATAACACGTTTGAGAGTCTCATGGTGAAGAGTTCTCTGCATGGGGACTCTTTCTCACCTGATGACCAGTGTTGCCAGTGGAGATTACAATATTAAACTCTTTGGTTTTCAACCCACTTCAGACTCCCACTCCCCTTTGGCACTGGAAAGACTCCCTCACAGAACGGTGTGATTACTTCAGGCAGCATTGCTCTCTCTCTGAATTTTGAAACATGTCAATTTTATATGTGAAACCTCTCAGCACCACTGACTTGGGTATCCTCACTAACGGAACATTGTAATTACTCCATGCCAGGCCAGAGCAGAGGGCAGAGCACTGCTTCTGGGGCAGGCCACGTGGAGTAGTCCAAACATCGCAGCACTTTCTACTGGCTGCATGATTTTGAATAACACATAGGGACGGAGTGGAAGAAGATGTGGCCTGAGCGCCACCTGGGGCTCCTCCCAGCCTCCTCTTGGCAGCAATGTCTTGGTCTGATCACCAAGAGCTGTTCCTTCGCCACCAAACAGCAGCCTGCTGTCAGGACTATAGCCCAGCGCAGTCCAGGCCAAGCAGAGCAAGAGGGGGCTTAATTATAAACCAGTTACAGGCTGCCTTGTTGTCTGGAGTCCCCGGGGCAGCGAGTAGTTTAGCACTCACCCTGTTGCTAGCCGACAGGCTGGGGGCTCGACTCCACCCAGAGAGGCACTCGCAAGAAAGGCCTGGTGATCTACTTTAGAAATAGCCATTGAGAGCCCCGTGGAGCCCAGTGCCACCCTGACACGCTCGAGGTCACTGTGAGTAGGAGTTGCCTGGACAGCAGCTAGGTTTTGTTTTGAAGTTTCTGCTTATTTGTATTGATTTCAGCACATGGTTTCTTTCCTGTGGGCGAGTAATTCTTTGAGATGATGTGACCTGACTTTGAACCCAATGGCATTTGGCCTGACCCCCCAACACACACACTGTAAAGCAGCTACTTGGAATGTTATGGAGGGGAACGAGCCCTTGCAGCATCTGGCCCCACGGACTGCTGGCCGAATCCGCTGCACTACCAAAGTGTGGTGAAACGAGGCATGTCTCACGAAGATTTCAGCTTTGGATTAGACCATTACCCATTTAGCAGGGAGAAAAAGTGTTTTGAATTGATGGACAACTTTGAAATGTCAACAATTGATTTTTAGTCAAGCAAATAAAAAGTGGAAAAATATTTTTTTAAGTTTTGTCTCAATTTTCAAAGAAAAGCCATTGTTAGGGGAGGGGGGCAAAAAGCAGCTTCCTGACCAACTTCTAGCAGCCATGCAGCTAGGATGCCTGGTGTTTGCTTACACACTTGCCACTCAGTTTTCTGAATCTGCTCCACTGGTCATAAAATCATGAACACACAGTGCATGTCCCCACGGTTATCAAACTCATCATTTTAAAAGAATGCTTTGCCTCCCAGTTTCCTGCAAACGCAGAAGCCTAAATAAACCAGGGATGTAACCAGACCAGGACGACGTCATTGAAAAGGTATCATGTACGTTCAAGCTACAGGTCCTGGTGTTTGTTTTTAGCATTTTATTCTATTAAAATAGGCGCACAGAGTAAAATTCTTTTATTTATTCCCAAGCTGAGGATTTCCTTTTCCTCTCTTGGCCTTCTTTTACTGTCTACGGTGGAGGGAGGGTCCTCCAAGGATGACAGTGGGTTAGTTGCAAGTTGGTTAAGCAACATCGTGACCTCCCGAGCAGAACCAGGCCATTGCTCACCTCCTCACGGCAGGACACAGTGGAGGTGAGGCAGTGGGATGGGAGGTTTCACCCGCAAGGCTGCTAATGCCCAAATTTATGCCCCATGGGCCAAGTTCACCAGTCTTGGCTTGTTCAAGCCACCCCCCCCCCACCTCACTGTCTTTGTCCCTCTCTCATACATCTTCCCTTCTTCCTCAGAGCCACTGCTGTTGTTGTCGTTGTTATGTGCCATTGGCAGCCCTAAGGAACAGAAAGCCTGGTACCGTCTGCAGCAGCAGTAGCAGCAGAGCTGAACCAGTCAGGAAACGTGCTGGAGGCCTGGGCCTAACTTGTTAAGTTGACCCATCCCATCGGACTGGCTAACAATGTCCTTCCTCCATGGTCTCTTCCAGGGGAGGTGGGTCCTCCTATGACGGACCCACTGTTTCCTGGAACTGCAGTGTCGGGGAAGGGGATGAAGATGCAGAGGCGGCAAGGCCTCCTCCCCATCACCATGGCCACCACAAAGGTATTGCTCTGGGGCTGCAGATAGGAGCCTTTTCAGTTCACCCAGAAACCTGCTGCCTGGGACTCTCTCTGCAGGCAAGGGCCAGCTCAGGTCCAAGTCGGGGCAAGACCTAGAGAAATGTGGCCTCCGCTCCGGCTCACCTGGCATGAGAGTGTGCTGCGTGTGTGTGTGAGCACATGTGTGTGAGTATGTGTGTGTATGTGGATGTGTGAGTAGGTGTGTGTGAATATGAGCTTGAATGTGTGTGTGAGTAGGTGTGTGTGTGTGTGAACACAGGGACACCCCTGCATCCATGCTGGCCCCGGGTGCTACATGTGAGCCAGGATGTCCAGGTCCCGGGAAGGCACCTGGTGAAAGGACAGGGTCTTGGAGGCCAGACGCTGAGTGACAGACAAAGGTGCCAGAATCCCCAGGGACCTTCTCTCCCTCACCTGTTTCATCCAGGACAGCTCCTGCCATCAGGAAGTCCCTCTGACTTGCCACCAAATCCCGACAGTCCTGCACACTCCACACTCCAGTGAGAGGGAGGGCAGCTGCTGCTGGACCCCACCTGCGGTGGGCCAGGGCCACCCTTCAGGTACACCTTGGAGGCCACCATCACCAAGAAAAGGGTTCTTAGGGGCCAACAGCTCTCCATGAAAACATGAGGGCTGAGGCTAGCAGGTGCGTCTGTTGATCTGGTGGTCTCTGGTTGGAGGCTGAGGTGGGCTAGGTGGGAGGCAGAGCCCATCTGAAAGGTGGCCTGGGCACAAAGTACACGCCAGGTGGACCACCCGGAGGCAGAGGCACAATTCAGTCTCCTGAGTTTCCTCCGGCTCAGACCAGGACAGGGTAAACACAAGCTCTGTGCCCAGTGGGGACAGGTCCTGGGACCAGCACGTCCCAACGGGAGCCTCTCTTCAAACTTCCGTACCCTCCCAGCTGTAGGCGAGGTGACTGACTCGGAGGCCTGTGGCCGCTGTCTGGTGCTCTGGAGAGAAGCCAGAAGCTGTACAAGGGGCTGGGGGACTGTGGATGGGGACTGTGGTCTGCTGCCTAAAAGGAAAGTCGCTGACCAGCGTCCCAGGAGAGGCGCCCAGGCCCCCAGCCAGCATGCCCATGGCCGAGGCGAAGCCATTGAAGCAGGTGGGCTCCGGTGAGAACTGGGAAGGCGAGGCCAGCGGGCTGGGGGAGGCAGCACGCACAGGCGACAGCGCTCCGGCCTGGGCTCCCCTGGGGCTCCTGGGCCCCAAGGCCAAGCGCGCCTCGCCCCTCCTCCTCCTCTTCCTTCGGAAGTTCCCGTTGTCAAACATTTTCTCGCAGTTTGGGTCCAGGGTCCAGTAATTGCCTTTACCTGCGAAGGAAGAGGGCCTAGCTCAGAAACCGGGGGCTTGAGGGACCAGGTGTGAGCGGGGGACCCAGAACTTTAATCAGATGCTCCCAGCGCCCCCTCCAAATAGCCATGACCCCTCCCTCTCACCCAAACCTTGGGATAGCACTCCGTGCCTGACCGGCCTCCGCAGCCAGGCTGGATGGAACCGAAACAATCCAGAAAGATCTGGAAAGGCGACGCCAGAGGTGAGGAGCCCCGCTGAGTTCCAGGTGGAGCGCAGAATCCCCCTAAGATTCCGCCAGCCACTTTGCCAGCAGAGTGTCCAGCCGCTGCCCCCTCTAAGCAGGGTAGCGCTTCCCAGAGGGACAGCGCCCCCGAACCCTGGGAGAGGGGTGCTTCTCAAGTTTACATCTGAGGACAACGAGGTCAGAGAAGTCACCGCCATGCCCAGCTAGCTGTAAGCTCGCCTGCGCTTCCCTCCTGGGAAGACACCCAGAGACCGGCAGCCGCACCGTGGGTCTGGGGCCTGTCCTTACCCGGCACTCCTCTCCTTCCCCCATCCCTGCCTCAGTACCTGCATGTGGACAGTGAGGCGTTTCGCTGTCTCAGGTCGCCCAGCCTGGCGGGCCACCAGAGGGCTGGGGCGCACAGCGCGCTCTTACCTGGGTCGTCCTCGTCGCGGGGCACCTTCCTGAAGCAGTCATTGAGCGACAGGTTGTGGCGGATAGAGTTCTGCCAGCCCGCCTTGCAGCGCTTGTAGAAGGGGAAGTTGCCCGCCACGTACTGGTAGATCTGGCTGAGGGTCAGCCTCCGGAGCGGGGCGCTCTGGATGGCCATGGCGATCAGCGCCGAGTACGAGTACGGCGGCCGCACCAGCCGCAGCAGCTCCTGCTGGCCGGGGAGGCTCAGCCAGGCCAGGTCGCCGCCGGCCGGGCTGCCCGCCGCGCCAAGCAGTGGCCCTGGGACCCCGTAGGCGGGTGCGGGGCCCAGGGCGGAGCCTGGCGTGTAGGGCGCGGGCGCGGGCGCAGTCACCCAGAGGCGCGGTCCGCTGCCCGTCGGGCCCAGCTCGTGGTGCGCAGAGCCCGCCGCGTGCGTGCTGGGCCGGACCGGGAAGGTGCCCAGGCCTTCGCCCGATGCGGCCATAGCCCCCCGCTCCCGCACCCGGGCCCCGGCAGAAGGCTTGGCTCCGAAGCTCCTGGGCGCCCCAGCGAGCGGGGCCGCCGGCAGCACCAGGTGCGGCCGGCCCTGCGCCCTTTAAATGCCGTCGGGGGCCGCGCCCTGGCAAGTCTCGCTGGCGGTCCCCGCCCCGGGTCAGCTCTCTGCCCCGCCCCGCTGCGCCCCGGCCTCAGGCACCTCCCCGTCCTGGTCTGTCTGCTCCCTTGGGCCGGCAGCCCCAATGGTTCTGAGCCCTCAGGTGGCACCCCGTCATCCGCGGGCCCCCCATAGTTGCGGCTCAGGGAGCCCTGTGCCACTCACGTTGCAGGTATCCACTCTCGCCTGGGGCGGCGAGCGGAGGGCCGCCTCCTGGGCCAGGGGTCGCGGTGGAGCCCCAGTTGTCGCGGGGCGGCGGATGCCCAGGGAGACTGCGCTGCTCCAGCCCCACGCGCGAGAGGCACCGGGGCGCAGGGACGAGTCTGGCTGAGCGCCGACGGTGGCGCTGGAGTCATCGGGATTCCCCGTGCCGTCACTAGGCGAAGGCTGCGGGCTGGTATAGGCGTAGAGGCCGCCCAGACCAGAGGAAGGTCAAGGCGCTGGAAGCCAGGGTCGCCCCAGCTGTCCAGGGAAGTCTTTGCTGCATCCGAGCCTCGAGAACCAGGGGAACCCGAGAACCAGGGGAACCCAGGAACCGCCTGGCTTATTTGGTGGTGGCCTCGGGCACCAGGTGCGAAACTCAGAGGGTTTCTCCGCTGCTTTTCGGGGACGTGGCGAAAGCAGCGACACCTCCATGAGGCGCCGGACACCGGACTCAGGCCCCGACCCTGGGTTTCCTGCTTCCCCGGCTCCCAGGCTCCCCGGCTGAGGACAGCGCAAGGACTCTGCAGGCCGGCCAGCTTAGACCCACACGCCGCGCACCGGGAAGAGCGAGGGCCTTTTGGGCTCAGAGTTCGTTCAGTTCTGCCCACCTCCGCCGGACCTTGTGTGGAGGGGGGATAATTCTACCCCCTGATGAATGATCAAAGATGGGGAGGGGCCCCTCCCTACAAAATTCATTGCCTGTGGCGTCAGCGCAAATCCTGGGCTTTCCCCGGGGGCACTCCCTATTTTTGCAAAGGGTCTGGGCTTGTCAAAGGGTCTACAGCTCATTTACAACTTATTTTAAAAACAAAAGTCCCCCATTCCGTTTTCGGCAGGGAGGGGAAGGATGGGCCTGGAGTCTGAGAGACAAATGGTTGGGATTCTAGGGGCTGCATTTAAAGGGGAAGGGTAAGCCTCTTCTGGTGCAGTGCCTAAGGCATCTGACTGCTGACCGGAAGGCTGGCGGTTCAAACCCACCAGCCACTCCTCTGAAGGAAGGTTGGGCAATCCACTTCCGTGGAGATACCACCTCGGAAACCCAAGGAAGGGACTGAAAGCTTAACTGTTGGACCTTGGAATAAAGGCCTGGCCTTGGAATCAGCACTCTGCCCCGAAGACCTCCTCTAAGGATGTAACTCCAACTTCTATGTAAAACAAGCGCTTTGTGGAACATCTCAACAAAATGACAGAGAAAAGTGAGAGTCCTCCTGCCACGGTAGGCCACTTCTCCCAGACGGGAACAGCCCATCCAGAGGTTGTGGATGAACCAAAGACTGGGGAGAAAAGACAAGAATTGGTTGATGGGGGTTGGCTCTTCAGCAGGTCAGTAACTATCCCTCTGCCCCTTCCCCAAAGATTTCAAAATTGTCACCAAAATGAGTGTTCATTTTGTGGGGATCCCAGGTACCTTTTGGAAGCTGTGCCCCAGCCTGTCACTGTGGGGACACTGCTGAGGGCAGGGCAAGCAGTCTCAGGAGGGAACAGTTGGCAGCTATTTCAGAAGCAGCAGTGAATGCCACCTGCCCCTCTGCTTAGCAGTTTCCCAGGCATCCTCACGATTGTAAGCATGTGCCATTCTCTGTGGCTGTGGTACACGTTTTACTAACTGCACTGGAAGAGAGTGTCTTTCCATCAGCAAGTATGGCTGTAAACATGACTTGCCTCCCCATCTACCCCCACAGAGCTGAAGAATCAGAAGACTCACAGCGACCCATAGGACAGAGTAGAACTGTTTCACAGGGTTTCCAAGGCTGTCTTTACAAAAGCAGACTGCTGTATCTTTCTCCTGAGGAGCAGCTGGTGCGTTCAAACCACTGACCTTTTGCTTAGCAGCCTAATGTGTTAACCACTATACCACTGGAGCACCTTAAGTGTGACTTAGGTATGTGCATTCATTGGAACATATAAACATGTCCTCCTTGTAATAATGGAGTCTCTGGGTGGCTGCTAACCAAATGGTTGGAGGTACGAGTCACCCAGAGGCACTCAAAAGAGAGGCCTGGTGATCTGCTTCTGAGAAACCAGCAACTGAAAACCATGTGGAGCCCAGATGTCCCTTGATCTGTGGGGTCATCAGGAGTTGCAGTCAACTGGGTTGCACCTGGTGGTGGTAGTGACCCAGAACAACAGTACTTCGCGAGTTTGCCAAGGACCTGAGATGTCTCCACACCTTTGGGATTTTGAAATGCTGATTAGAAGTGAGCTTTTCAAAGATAATGCTTCGTGAGGATGGAACATCACAGAAGCCACACTACTCCTCCTTAACCCAAATGATCCCAGGCACTGAGGAAGAGGCAGTGTGGAGATGATAGCTGCCATGTCCAGGTGGGGTGGCTTACCAACTCTGGGGAATCCACAAGAACGCCCCAGTTTTCCTTTTGTTCTAGGGGCTGATGTGTCATGGTTCTTCAGGGGAGGGGACATCAGAATCGATGTTCTTTGTGGAGGCCTTGACTGCCCACAGCTGTAAATGTCAAAGACAATTGTTTGAACAATCCAATGAGTTGGGAGGAAGAATGACTTTCATCTACAGTCAATTCCACTGCTGTGATAATCCATCAACGCTGCTGAATCTTAAATAACAGGCTGTGTCAACCCACACGAAGTAAAGTAACGGAACAAATGGTAGCTCTTTCCAATTGCCTTTCTTCACATTCACAGTGCACCTCTTTGTCACTTGTGACTTTGGAGACCTCAAAGAAAACTAGATGAATCCTCATGTAATTCCCGCCATTTCACTTTATAAAAGCTCCTGCAATACCTGCCATGCATGGGAGTCCATATTTCTATCCTACCATTTGCTTCCTCAGTCCAGTCTTCATCTGCAGTTCCCATGGTAATGGCTTCCTTATCTTTCCACAGACTGGACTCATAACCTGAATTTCCATAACTAGAGGACAGTAATTTCTTGGGGGAAAAAAAGGTTTAACACTTGAGTCAGTCTTTGATGGAACTCTGATGAGAGTTTATTGAAGAGGAAAATAAAAAATTTCTCACAGAGAAGAAATGACAAAGAAACAGAGTCTGGGCCCTTAGGCCTGCCCGGGACTTCTGGTGGCCAAGCCCCCTCCTCAAACTGCAGACCTACCCTCTGTATTCTCAAGGGCCCCTACTGTTCACTTAGAGGAGAGAATGTCAGATAGGTCTCCCCCACCCTTCCACCACCAAACTGCCAAGCCCATCTGTGGCTATACTCACTCACACCTGTCCGTCTTCTGGTCACAGTGGGAGAGGTGTCCACTCTCTCGCCTCTTGTCAGTCTCTCTCCTCGACAGGGCCAGGACTAGCGGGAGGCAAGAGGCACGTAGACGTACTATTTGAGGATGAGAACTTCCTCCTCCAATCTGGTTCCACTCTCTTCACAGGTGGCTTCCTTCCTGTGACCATCTCCTCTCTCACTGCTTCCCTTCAGTATTTACAGGCACCGTGTTCACTTCAGGAGTCCTGGTGGTGCAGGGGTTAAATGTTCTGCTGCTAACCAAAAGGTTGGCGTTAAGAGTCCACCAGCCTGTCCATGGAAGAAGGATGTGGCAGCTGCTTCCATAAAGATGACAGCCTTGAAAACCCTGTGGGGCAGTTCTACTCTGTCCTCTAGAGTCGCT